CTTGCGCGCACGAATGTCCACTTTACCTTATTTTTTGCAAGGGATTCTTGCAATTTGATCAAGTAAAAACAAGAATTTTCATTTTCTATTGTTTTTTGCAAGGGAAAACGAGCGTCAACAAAAAACCGGATCCGGACATAATCCACTTTTCTGAAGCTTTCGCGAAAAAATGATGAAAATGTAGCTGCGGCCTAGGTTTTGGAGGGGGGTCGCGCACCAGGGGTCCCAACAATAATTATTCTTTAGAAGTAATAATGTTCAAAAACAGCAAAAACAACAAAAACAGCAGCTCCTGCTTCACACTTCCTCGCAATGTATTCACAAATGGCGCTCTCGCGTGCGACTTCTTTATTTATGCAGGAATCGCGCTCTCGCCTTGGACTTCCTCGCAATTCACTCCGACGCCGCGCCCTCAACACTCAGGAATCGCGCTCTCGCTGCGGATTCCCTCACGATTTATGTAGAAACCGCGCTATCGTTCGAGACTTCGTCGCGATTCATGCAGGACGCACGCTTCAGCAACCCGCCTGCTCGACCTGGCCGCCTGGGCCCGCCTTCCCGACCCGCCCGCTAGGGTCTACCCGCCAGATTTGCCCGTCTCGTTCTGCCAAGTGTTTTCTGCTCCTAGCCTGCTACTCTCTCTCTCTCTCTTTCTCTCGCTCGTGCTCCATCCTCCTCCCTCTCTCCCCATCTGTCCTCTCTTCCCTACCTTAGAGGCAGCACGTAATACACGTTGCAGGTAAGAAAGATATACCCACAAGGGGGATACGATCGAAACGAAAAGGGCGGGTATCGATTTGCTTGGGATAGACGCGTTGACTTGCTCACGAGCGGGTACGATTGAGCAGTATTAATAAGAGGATTGTTGTTGCTGGTGTTGTTGTTGCTGTTGTTGCTGGTGTTGCTGTTGTTGTTGCTGTTGTTGTTGATGATGCTGCCGTTGTTGTTGCTGGTGTTGGTGGTGGTGTGGCTGTGATTGTTGGTTTGTTGTTGTTGTTGTTGTTGTTGGTGGTGTTGTGGTTGTTGTTGTTGCTGCTGTTCTTGGTTGTGGTGTTGCTGCTGTTGTTATTGTTTTCTCAGCTCTAAAGAATAAGTGGTGTTGACCCCTTCCACGGTAATCATTGTTTTCTTCAGTTAAAGTGTTTCTCCCAGGTTTCGCACCCTGGTTTTACAAGGTAGGCGATGTGTCACCAAAGTGCGCCCCTGGCCCCCCATTTACAACAATGACGGTTTCCGCCTGACATGTCCTCACAATGTATTCCCAAATCGTGTTATCGCGCGGGACTTCCTCACAATGTATGCAGGAATCGCGCTCTCGCGTGGGGTTTCCTCGCAATTCATTCAGACACCGCGCCCTCGACACATGTGGAAATCGCGCTATTGCTCGAGATTTCCTTGCGGTTCATGCAGGACGCACGCTTCAGCAACCCGCCTGCTCGACCTGGCCGCCCGGGCCCACCTTCCCGACCCGTTTATCAAGATTTGCCCGCCCGATCTGCCCGTCTGGTTCTGCCACGTGTTTCTGCTCTTGGCCCCCTCTTGCTACTCTTTCTCTCGTGTTCCATCCTCCTCTCCCCCCCCCTTGTCCCTTCCTTCCATCCGTCCTCCTTTCCCCGTCCTCAGGGGCTGCACGAATTACACGCTACAGGTAAGAAAGATATACCACCAATGGGGTACGATCGAAGACGAAGAGGGCGGGTATCGAGGGTTTGATATACACGCGTTGAATTGCACGCGAGCAGACAAGAGCGAACAGTCTTAAGCTGGTGGTTGCTGTTGCTGCTGATGGTGTTGTTGTGATTGCTGTTGTTGTTGGTGGTGGTGCCGGTGTTGGTGTTGTTGTTGGTGTTGTTTCTAGTGTGAGTGATGGTGTGCTTGTTGTTAGTGTTGTTGTTGCTGCTGCTGTTGTTAAATGGTTGTTATTATTGGTGTTGTTGGTGTTGTTGGTGGTGGTGGTGTTGGTGTCGTTGGTGGTATTGTTGTTGTTGCTGGTGTTGTCGTTGTTGCTGCTGCTGCTGTTGTTGATGGGTGGTGTTGTTGTTGTTGGTGCTGTTGGTGTTGTTGTTGGTGGTAGTGGTGGTGTTGGTGTCGTTGGTGGTATTGTTGTTGCTGCTGGTGTGGTCGTTGTTGTTGTTGATTGTGTTGTTGTGTGTGTTGCTGTTGCTGTTGGTGTTGCTGTTGTTGTTGGTGTTGTTGGTGTTGTTGTTGGTGTTGTTGTTGGTGTTGTTGTTGTTGCACTCTCACTTCTGAAGAATAAGTAGTGTTGATCCCCCCACCGGTGCATACTGTGCTTTCTCAATCAAAGTGTGCCCCTCGACGCTCGCACCCTGTTTTTTATCAGGGAAAGTCTTGAGGCTCAAACTGTGCCCCTGGCCCCCGGGTTACAACAACAACGGCTCCCGCCTGAGACGTCCTCACAATTTAGCCAGGGCCCCCGCTCCCGCCCGAGACTTCCTCGCATTGTATTCAGGAATCGCGCTCTCGCTTGGGACTTCCTTAACTTTATTCAGGAATCGCTCTCCCGGCGCTCTGGAGTCGCGGTCTCGCTGGAGACTTGCTTGCAATTTACTGAAGATGGTGCCCTTGCGTTGGAATTTCCTGCAATTTACTCAAGCGCCGCGCTCCCGACACCCAGGCACCCAGGAGTCGCGCTCACGCTTAGGACTCCCTCACAGATTACCCAGGAATCGGGATCTCGCTGCCCTTCGTGGCCCCGTTGCAGCCCTTCGTGGCCCCCTCGCTTTATTTCGTGGCCCCGTTGCAGCCCTTCGTGGCCCCCTCGCTTTGTTTCGTGACCCGTTGCAGCCCCTCGTGGCTTCCTCGCTGCCCTTCGTGGCCACGCTGCAGCCCTTCTTGGCCCCGTTGGCCCTTCGTGGCCCCCTCGCTTTGTTTCGTGGCCCCGTTGCAGCCCTTCGTGGCCCCCTCGCTTTGTTTCGTGGCCCCGTTGCAGCCCTTCGTGGCCCCCTCGCTTTGTTTCGTGGCCCCGTTGCATTCCTTCGTGGCCCCGTTGCAGCCCTTCGTGGCCCCATATATGTATGCCCTTCGTGGCCCCCGCTCGTTCGCGCCCGTGGTGGCCCCATATGCATGCCGTTCGTGGCCCTGCTGTCGTCCTTCGTGGCCCCCTCGCTGCCCTTCGTGGCCCCGTTGCTGCCCTCAGTGGCCCCGTCCTTGCCCTCCGCGGCCCAGTATACGTATGCCCTTCGTGACACCCGCTCGTTCGCGCCCGTTGTGGCCCCATGTGCATGCCCTTCGTGGCCCCGCTGTCGCCGTTTGTGGCCCCCTCACTGTCCTACGTCCTACGTGGCCCAGTTGCTACCCTCAGTGGCCCCATCGTTGCCTTCTGTGGCCCTGCATTGTCTGCCCTTCGTGGCCTCCGCTCGTTCGCGCTCTTCGTGGCCCCATACGCATTCCCTTCGTGTCCCCGCTGTCGCCCTTCGTGGTCTACTTCGTGTCCTGTGGCCCTGCTGTCGTTCTCTCTCGCTCTCGCCTTCGCTCGTCGCCGTCGTCGCCGTCGTCGTCGTCGCCGTCGTCGTCGACGTCGTCGTCGTCGTGGTCGGTCCCCTGTCCGTCCCTCTTGGGGTCGGGTCGACGGTCCGCGGCCGCCCCGCCGATCAGCGCTGCCGCTGGCCAGGCCGACGGTCCGCGGCCGCCCCGCCGCTTGCCGGGGCCCGGCCTGCAGGGAAGAAAGGTATACCCGCCAGAAGGGGTTCGATCGAAGACGGTGGGTATCGAGGGTTTGGGAATACGCGTTATTGGACACTCGAGCAGATAAGGGCGAACAGTCTTAAAATGATTATTGTTGTTATTGTTTGTTATCGTCGTCCCGCCCGCAATCTGGCCCGCGACCGACCCACCCGCGACCCACCCCCAACGCACCCGCGACCCGCTTCGCGACCCACCCGCGATCCACCCCGCTACCCGCCCGCGATCCACCCGCGACCCACCCGCGACGCACCCGCGACTTATCCCGCGACCCAAGCGCGACCCACCCGTGACACGCAACGCGACCCGCCCGCGACCCACCCGCGACCCACCTGCGACGCACCCGCGATTTATCCCGCGCCCCACGCGTGACCCACCCGCGACCCACGCGCGACCCACCCGCGACCCACCAGCGACACACCCACAACCTACCTGCGATCCACCCCGCGACCCAAGCCGCGCCCGCTCCCTCACTCTCATCCGCAATTGCGGGGTGCTACATATCCTCTTTTGAGGTTTTAACAGATGTTCGGGATTCCGCTTTTTCGAATTAGGAACGAAGTTCAAGACCGCTCGGGGAGCGTTCGTCCCAAGACGACCCAAGAGGCTGCCAACGGAGCCCCAAGACAGCACGTGGAGGGCCCAACAGAGCCTCCCCGTCCTGACTCCTTCCCCTCCCGCCGCTTCCCTGCAGCCCTGCCACGGAAAGCAACCACAAAGCAGCGCGAAAGGTCGCTAAGATGGGGCTCTCGACCCCCAGATTCTCTCCGCGGCAGCTCTCGAGCCGGATCGATGCCGCGAGGGCCCCGGGGCCATGTTCGCACGCGCCGAGGGCGCCGCCATATGGTGAGTGATCCCCCGCGCCCCAGCCAAATCTGACCGTCGGGGGACGCGTAATGGAAAAGGCGATAAATGGGCGGGCAGCGAGGGCTGCAGAAAGGGGCATTTTAGAATCCTTGCAGGGGCCCTCTAGGACCTCAAAGGAGGCTTGCAGTGCCCGAAGGGGGCGCCTTTTTCCGCCCCATGCACCGCCCCCTATCAACTCGCGCCCAAGAGCGCCACCCCCCCTCTCTCCGCGCCCCATCCTCCCTTCACCTCTCTCCGCGCGAGCCCCTCTGCGTTTCTATCCTTCCTCCGGGCCCCCTCCGGGCCCCCATCTCCCGGATCTGGCCCCCTGCCCGCCCCGATGTGGGAATCCGGCCCCCTCCCTTGCTGCCCTCTCGTTCTCCTCATCGTTCCCCCTTGCATCACCCCCTCTCGATACCCCCCCCTTTGTCGGCGTGACACCTCCTTGCGAGGAACTCTGGGAGAAATGCGGCGGCCTGGAGTTCGACTCCGTGCTCGGCAGAGGAGCGGTCGTCCTGATGGACGCGGAGTGGATGGTGGGGCGAGCGGGCTCTGGCGGCGTCCTCGAGCCGCGCCAGGCGTTGCCGCCGACTGCATTCATGCCCCACAGCGCTGTCAAGGCCACCACGCCTGAATTTATGTTCCTCCCGTTACTGCACATCGCGTGCATTTCACACTGCTGGCTGCAGGCAAACCACCCGGATCCACACGGGCACAACCTGCGCGTCTTGGGCAGGGCCCTGCAGCTGCTGTTGACAGATTATTTCGTCGATTTCAAGGGCCGGTGGGCTGTATTCAATTGCCAGCGGCAAGTCCCGCCACAGTGCCAGCCCAGCGTGCTAGGCGGCTCTCCTTCGAAGGGGCACCAGAGGCCGTACCTGCGAGGGATGAACATGATGATGATGATGATGATGATGATGATGATGATGATGATGATGATGATGATGATGATGATGATGATGATGATGATTATGATGATGATGATGATGATGATGCTGATGCTGATGCTGATGCTGATGCTGATGCTGATGCTGATGCTGATGCTGATGCTGATGCTGATGCTGATGGTGATGGTGATGGTGATGGTGATGGTGATGGTGATGATGCTCGTCATGATCATGATCACGATGCTCATGACGATGATGGTGATGATGATGGCGATGACGATGGTGATTGTGATGATGGTGATGGTCATGATGATGGTGATCATGATGATGATGATGATGATGATGGTGATGACGATGGCGATGACGATGATGATGTGATGATGATGATGATGATGATGATGATGATGATGATGATGATGATGATGGTAATGGTAATGGTAATGGTAATAGTGATGTTGATGATAGTGATGGTGATGGTGATGTTGGTTGTGGTTGTGATGATAAGGATGAGGGTGAGGATGATGATGATGATGACGACCATGACGATGGTGATGATTATGGCGTTGATGATGATGGTGATGATGATCATGTCTGTGATGGTGGTGGTGATGATGCTGTTGATGATGATGAAGAGTAGGAGGGTGATGATGATTATTGTGGTGATGATGATGATGATCATGCTGACGGTGATGCTGATGGTGATGGTGATGATGATTATGCTGCTGTTCATGATGATGATGATGATGATGATGATGATGATGATGATGATGATGATGATGATGATGATGATGATGATGATAACGATACTGATACTGATACTGATGCTGATGCTGACGCTGATGCTGATGCTGATGCTGATGCTGATGCCGATGCTGATGCTGATGCTGATGCTGATGATGCTCGTTGGGATATCGTGGGAGCCCTCTCGGGGGCTTGTTGGGTGCAGTTTCGAGGCCTCTTGGAGGCCGTCTGGCGGCCTCTTGGAGGCCTCTTGGGGCTCCTTGGAGGCCTGTTGGGATCTCCTCGGGACCTTTCCGGGCGGAAGGCAAGAATAGTCCGTTCGTATTCCCCCTCTTGGGGTCGTTTTGGGCGCCTCTTGGGCCGTTTTGGGGCTCTCTTGGGCCGTCCATGGGAACTCTTGTAGGCCTTTTGGGCCGTCTTGGGGCTGTCTTGGGGGCCCCTGGGGCCGTCCTGGAGTGTCGGAAGCTTGAAAAGGAGATAACGTGAAGTCATCAATGACAATCATTGATGTTTGCCTCTTGGGGCCCTCGTGGGGGTCCTCTTGGAGAGCTCTCGGGGCTTCTTTGGGGCCTCTTAGGCGGTCTTGGAGGCATCTTGGGCCATCTTGGCGGCCTCGGTGGCCTCCCAGGTCCCCCTAGAAAGCCATCTTGGGCATCTTGGACGCACCGGAGAGAGCCAGGGACGTGTCTTGGCGCCGACAGAGCCTCGAAAAGAGGGGGTGGTGCGCGCGACGAGGTGCGGCCCGGAGAGGGGGGGATCTTGCCAGACAGCCATTGGCATTCTAGCATGCCTCAACGTGCCAGGGGGCACGGTGGCGGATTTATGGATTTTTGTTGCATCCACCAAAACTGTAGAGACCGCGAGGGCATTCCCCAGCAGTGCACCTACCAGCGTCTCGAAGACTCTGGATCTTTCGAGGACGATGCCATCGGCCGCTTCGAGCCGGAGCATGCGCTCTTCAAGGAGGCATTGGGGAGCTTGGGGCGGTTTTACTCTCACCCCGCCACTGTCGTCTTCATGCTGACCCAGTTTCCAGATGATTACGACGATGCTGCAAAGTACACCCGGTTGGGTAACACGGAGCAGTACTTCAACCGTGGTTGGTGTTTCTGCGAGTCTTCCTGGGCGATGTTGACGAAGGACTTCAGGTGCCTCGTGGATCTCGGCCACTCCACCGGAGCAGAGACCTGCTACTACGGTGACTACGGCCGTGCGGACTCGCTGGTGACGGCCTGCGCGGCGGGGCGGAGGGCGCCCGTCCTGCCCGACGCCTTCGACGCGCAGCTGCAGCGCAAGGGGTTCACCAACGGCAAGGACGACAGGCCCCGGGTTGCCAAGCTCTACCGCTCCGCGTTCGCGCAGCGCCTCGAGGCCGCGGAGGAGCTGGTGTACGCGAGCCTGCACTGGGGGGACGAGGAGGCGCAGCAGCTGGCCGCCATGCTCGCCTCGGGCGCCGCGCCCCAGCTGAAGAGGCTCCACCTCAGCGGCAACGAGGTGAGCGACGAGGGCGCCGCGCGGCTGGCAGAGGCCCTGCGCGCCCCGGGCGCGCTTCCCCGGCTCGAGGAGCTCAGCCTCGGCGGCAACCGCGTGGGCGACGAGGGCGCCGCGCGCCTGGCGGAGGCCCTGCGCGCCCCAGGCGCAGTGCCCCAGCTTCAGGTGCTCCGCCTCGGCGGCAACCCGCTCGGCGAGGCAGGCCAGGCGGCGCTGCGCGCCGCGTGGGCGGAGGCTGGGCGGCGGGGCTTCCTGATGCTCAACAGCTGAGGCGGGCCAGGCGCGGCGCGCGGCCGTCCGATGGCTCCCTGCGCCACTGCTCCGCTGCCCTCCTCCGCTCCTCCGCTTCTCCTCCTTGCGCTCCGTCCTGCCCTTCGTCCCTGCCTCCCGCTGCTCCTCCCCCCTCCCCCGGCGTCGCTCCTCATTCCCCTCCTCCCTCGCCTCCTCGTCCTCTTCTGGGCTTGTTTGTTTTCCCCTTCCCCTGGCCCTGGGTGTTTTGTTCCCCCCCCCTCTTGGGGGTCGTCCGAGGGGGTCTCTTTTTGCTTCCCCGTCCGAGTTTTTCCCAACCATCCTGTGGCGTCGGGTCCTAGTTTTGAAGAGACAGTGCCCCGCGAGCCTTCCTTCCTGCCGTCCTTACTGCATCTCCTCCTCCCCCTCCTTCCTCCTCCCACCCTCCCGCTGCCCCCCCCTTCTCCCACTCCTGCCTCTGCCCTCCGAAAGTCATCATCATCATCATCATCATCATCATCATCATCATCATCATCATCATCATCATCATCATCATCATCATCATCATCATCATCATCATCACCATCACCATCATCATCATCATCATCATCATCATCATCATCATCATCCTCATCCTCATCCTCATCCTCATCCTCATCCTCATCCTCATCCTCATCTCGTTCCTCCTCCTCAACCTCATGATCCTCCTCCTCCTCCTCCTCCTCCTCCTCCTCCTCCTCCTCCTCATCATCATCATCATCATCATCACGCCCATTTCGGCACACCCCTCACAGGGTTCGTGGCCCCACAGGGAGCTCCACCGGAGGCCAAAATGGCTGCGTTCGCATGCGTCCCGCGCCCCCTTCGGCACACCCCTCACACGGTTTGTGGCCCCACAGGGAGCTCCACCGAATGCCCCAGTGGCTGCGTTCACATGCGTCCCGCGCTCATTTCGGCACACCCCTCACACGGTTCGTGGCCCCACAGGGAGCTCCACCGAAGGCCCCAGAGGCTGCGTTCACAGGCGTCCCGCGCCCCTTTCGGCACACCCCTCACACGGTTCGTGGCCCCAGGGAGCTCCACCGAAGGCCCCAGAGGCTGCGTTCACAGGCGTCCCGCGCCCCGTTCGGCACACCCCTCACACGGTTCGTGACCCCATGGGGACCAAGAGGACGAGGCAAAACAGGGGGCGAGAGGAGGGCTTCCGCCCGGGCGAAAAAGGAGAAGGGCAGTAAGAAATCAGGAAGAGAGCCTCGACATTCACAAGGATGACGATGCACTCTCAGGTACGATTTGGAGATTCTCATGCGGGGTCCTTCCATCGGAGCAACTTCTATGTGCGAGTCATGGGTTTTGTCGGGTCCCCCGCTTCATTGCCGCAATCGCCACGTCGTCGCCGTCTGTCGTCTGGGCCTGTTTGCTCCGCTGTTTTCTTGCCACTGTCGCCGCCTCGCCATCTGGGCACCTTTGTCGGTTCCGCTGCCTGTTTGCCGCCGTCGGAGGCGGGAGGGGAGAGATGGCACGCACGTCCGTTTCCAGGGCGTGATGCTGCATTGCAACCCCAGCACTGCGCCACTGAAGTGAAAAGGGGCCACCTCTTCTCCCTGTGGTGAGCTGGGCACCCTGGGCCGGGTGATGAAATCACATTCCGACGCCGATGGCGTTTCCGACGCCAGGGGCGAGGGGGGCGCCCGCACCAGCGTCCGCACGAACACCGGCCCTGACACTCCTAGCGGCCCCAGTGCGCAGAGGGGCACTAGTGAACGGACTGCCGTCGACGCTGGCGGTCGAGGCATACGTAACGAGATGGGGGGGGATGTGATGATTACACGGCTGGTTACGGCAAATAGGTAATCGATCTGATCAGCGTAACAAACATCAAGTTGTTTCAAGTGTTCGGCGGACGGCATTGTGGTGAACCATATCTGGCACCATTGGTCGGGACACGTAGTTGCGACGATGAAACGATTCGTTATGCCGGTTTCCTCGCGCTATCGTTTTGATATTCCGGATTACCCTCGCATACGGTACGTGCAATTTCTTCAGCATGTCATATTATATTTTGTTTTACCGGCAGGGACCTTATAGCGGAGTACGGATCGGGGAAGCAATTAATCTTGGACACCAGAAGTACCCTCAGAATTGTGATGCACCGTTGCGCCGTACACATCGGAATCATGCAGCGGTTCTCGAATGTGATGTGCAACACATTGATGCACACGCACAATTTTCTCATATTGGTTCGGGTATCGCGCTGCCAATTTAGGCGACCTTGAGACCGTGTCTTGCTGGGATAAGAGAGACCATGCTTTTCGATATTCGATATCGGCATTGTGATTTTTCTTCTGTGGAATCGATAAGTACGGCTGAGCATTACGATCCAAGACGGTTCTAGAGTGGTCATTACTTTATGTTCGTATACTAGTGGCTGTCATTATGGCACCCATGGGAAAGATGTATGGACATATTGTGCACGTGCATTCGGGTGTCGACCAAGAGATGTCCTACAATTGCGTATCGGGATTTGGTGACAAATCATTTTGGTCGGAACGTGCAATGTCTAGTATGTGCGTGTTCTATATTTCCATTGGCAGCACAGCAAGAACGAACACATCGGGTGCAGCGCAGCAGCCAGGCGGAAAACAAAAAAAAGGAGGACAAGGATGAACAGGAGAGATGAGGAGGGCGCTGAGTAAAGCACCTTGCGCTCTGAGAACGGACAAGGTGGTTCGAGCTGCGTGCGCGGCAGACTGGCAGCCGGGGTCAAAATAGAGCGGGCGACAGACCGTTGAAGCGCCGCGCTTCAAAGCCCCGCCCGTCGGCGCCTGGGCATTGCATAGAGCCTAAGCCGCTGCTCACCATTTCCTGGCAAGTATTGTTGCTTGTTTTTTTCAGCTGGCTTGGCCTAGAAAAGTTGATGGCAAAAGCATGCAACGTTCTGTTATCTCTGAACGTGCCCATGAAAGTTTCCAGTAAGAAGCCATTGATGATAACCACGTTGCCCACTATCTGTTTGGTCTTCCTTGCGCACGTTTGCAATTCAGCGTAACCAGCAACACGAAACTCTGCCATCGCGTCTACCCGTTTGGAGCTCTCTACCAATTTCCCCGCTAAGTTTTGTAGGCGTCTTTGTTTGTGTGGGCGTGCTCGGCAATGAATGCGTATGGCATCCCAATTCCAATTTGCAATGCGCCCTTCAACCCAAGATGTCTTGTCTCAGTTGCAGGATCTTCACACCTGTTTGAGTCATCCTGACTGTTGTTTGCTCGTCAGGCCCTGCTCTTCTCATCAGTCAAATCAAGCGTTTGTGGACTAATGCATGGCTCTTTCTTTGCTGAAGGTCACGGCAGTATTGCGGTCGCAGCCTGAATTGTTTGTACCTTTTGTTCCCATCGTTTTTGTTGTTGGTTCTGTTGTTGAAGAACTATCCCATCTTTCTACGCATCTTCCTGCATAGTAAAGCGAAACGTGCGAGCCTCGGAAATAAGATTGACGCGGCGCGCGAGAATAGATGCGCAGGCGAAGCGGAAAATGTCAGCTAAGCAAGCGCAGAGGAGGAGGAGGAGGAGGAGGAGGGAGAGGAAGAGGAAGAGGAGGAAGAGGAGGAGGAGGAGCAAGAAGAGGAAGAAGAGGATGAGGAGGAGGAGGAGGAAGAGGAGGAGGAGAAGCAGCAGGGGGAGGAGGGAAGCCGAACGTCATGCACTACTGCATGTGCCATTCGGCTAGGCATACACCAGGCTCGCGAATTTCACGCGGGAGGTCGGCTTCATCATTCAGAACATTGTGTGTGTTACATTACGTTGGAGGGCGATTCCGAGCAATCCCCACCAGCGGTGTTGAAGGCCAAGGGCGATGCCCCGGCGAATTCAATGAGTGTAATCCCCGGGCCCGTTCGCGTGCGAGTGCTGGTACAAAGTCGACGCATTGTGCATTCAAATGTCCGTGTTGTTATTTCTGCGCTCAGTTTTCTCCAAGAGCAGGCCACCCCAGTTGCTCGTTCTGGGCTGGGACCCGCCAGTCCGGGAGATTGGCGTTACAACAGTCGTGTCGTTACGTTCAGACTTGGGACGATGATTTCCAGCCTCTTGCTGTCATCGGCATTGGTCGGAAAGCGGGTGTTCCTGAGCATGCGTTCCACGCTCCGTTTTGGAAAATGCCAGCTTGTTTCCGTAAAAATGCGTCGCCAAGCAGCAAGGATGCCAGAATGGTTGGCATTCCATCGTGCCCCAAAATTGTCACATAAGCGTGCATGTTCGTGCACATCCATACAATCCATTTACATTTGCAGTACTCAAGCGCCGTCTGGCAGCGAAATCCATGAACGAGTTCTCTAGCTCCAGTGGTTCCGCTGTCGAGCAAATCTTGAGCCAGATAGCGGCATGCGGCCCAGAACACGATTGCAATCGCTCCTGCCTTGGTGTCGCTGCATTCGCGCGGGCTCGTGGACCTCCGAGCTCTTGTGCCAAAGCTATTGATGCAGTAATTTTTGCGACGCTGGAGGCGGGGAACTGCCACCCATGTCGTAGCTGGATGGATAAAGGCCAGGGGTCGTGCGTCATCTCATCGGCTTTCTGCCGCAAGTCCAAACGAAGTTGTTGTTTTGATGTCCCATTTGCATGAAGCGAGCTTTTCGCCTTTACCGTCACGCCCCCGTCTCGTAATTCGCATTTGCCGCATACCGGGCACGACGCGCTGGGTTCTTGGCAAGGGGCACACAAGTATTCAAATAAGCAGCTGGTGTTTTTCCCAATTTGGGTCGCGGTTTTCGCTGATGTCGCGTGGCCCCGGTGGCGTGTTTGCATGTACCTGGCCAATAAATAACATGTTCATGCGGTTCGCGATCACAATACTGTCATAGCCAGTCGTTGTTGCGGCGGTGTCGCCCTCCTCGACGGGTTCTTTTTTCATTAGGTGTTCTTAAAAACGCTTTGGGCGTTAGCTTTGCTGTGCAATTTGATAAACAGACACTCTAGAGAACGCAACGTTTTTGTTCAGCGCTCTTAGCTTCCACGACGCCAAGTTCAAAAATGCAACAAACTCCT